CCAGCCTTGACGGCAAGGAGGAATCACTGTGGAGACCTGGAGTTGCAAGAACATGGATTGATTTCATTGATTGATTGATTAAGTGCCCAATGACCCAATAAAGTCGTTGTCGACTCTTAGCGACCACAGAGGTAGATTTTCCCGTGACGATCTGTCCCTAACCTGGTCTTTCAGATGCCCCCACCACCGCCATAACTGAGCCCGTCCCCATTGCTGTTGGTCCTCCTCCTCTTCTCCTTCCTTCCTCCTGTCCCAGCATCAGAGCCTTCTCCAGAGAGCAAGGTCTAAATGCCCATCCCTAAAAGTGTGGTGTTTGTTTCAGATGGGGGTGGGAGCAGAGAGTGTACAAACCAGTATTTCTAGCTCATTTTATTTTACTTTATTTTTACTTTCTGTTTCACTTCCTGGGTATGTAACTTGTGACATACCCAGCCCCCTCTGCTGATTTTATGACCAATAGCAAAGGGCACTTTTGGATAAGGTCTTGATCATGCAATCAATCCACCTTATGTACAGAATATAATGAACACGATGCTTCATTCAGGACCCTCTCATTTTTATAGAATAGAATAGAATAGAATAGAATAGAATAGAATAGAATAGAATAGAATAGAATAGAAACTGTATTGTCATTCCGCTATACACTATACACTAAGTGCATGATAAAATGCACTTTCATTACACACCAAGTGTTTAATAAAATAAAATTCCGTTGCAGTTGGCTCACAATTACAATCAAAGACTAAAATACAGTCGAGTATCCACCCCTATTTCCATGTTCTTTGCTTTGCTCCCAACATGTTTTGGTTTGGGAAGCAAACTATGACCCTTGGTTGACAATGAGCTCAATGATGCGGTCAAGGACTGCGATATGCCCAGCTCCTGTTGGCCATGTAGCTTGCTGGGGGAAGGCCCCTTCCCTCCAGGTACTTAGGCAGGCCCCCAATTGCCATTTGGGCTTTGTCTGCAGACCCCTGGCTTCCTCAGGGGCATCAGCCTGGGCACCAGTCAGGCACAACGTGGGCTCCAAATGCCCATGGATACAGCGCTCTTTGGAAGGAGCAACCAACTCATTTTTGAAGCACAGGTTGAGCACTCTTGTGAAGGAGCTCTGGACCTGTGTTTAAAAAATAAGAGTAGCACGAAGAGAGCTCTAATTCTGCACTGCCAAGGTTTGCCAGCTTGGAGTTGCTGATTCAGTCACCAATGATTCTCTTGGTGCTTTTTCCACGAGGGATTTCGTGTGGCTAAGTTTTATTAATTTCGGGAGTGCCGTGACTCCACCTCCTGGAGTTAATCTATCTATATGGTTGCTGAGAGGCGACACTGACTTGATGTCACTTCATCAATCCATTTTCCCTACTCCATGGGCTACCTCTGAGCGCTGCCAGCCAGAGCTATGGGAATTGGAAAGCCATGAGGGCAAGAAGGATTATTATTATCATTATTATTAACAATAATTAAACTCGTATGCCACCTGACACTCAGTTCCTTGTGGACGTCTCACAACCATCAACCAAAGAAATTACAATGAGGTCAATAAAACATTAAAGATAAAAGATGGCAGGTGTGAAGAAGTGAGGGGTCTCATTCTCTGTTGCCAGGGGCCTGAGTGAATGAAATTTACTGCAGTTTATTACCAAACTAGTCATCCTTGAAGACTCTCCTTCATCAGAATACGGTTTCATTTGTAAAAATGCTACAAGTTTCTTCTTTATTCTTAAGTAAGCATGGAGCATTATATTTAACTTTCTTCTCTATCTCTGCTCAAACAAACCTTTCAACTAGGGGGCTGTAATTATCCCACAACGTGCATCGGTACATGTAGTTACACACTTTGTTGCACATAGTTACACACGTAGTTTAAATGGTGGCACAGTGAGTCCCACTCAGCATCCAAAGGGGAGAGGACTAGCTTTGTATCCCATAATAGTTCTTGAAATAGAGGGCTCCCACGCAGCCATCCAATGCCTGCCCTGGCATTCCTTGGACCCGCTTCCTTGCTCCCTCCAGAATCACCCCACACCTCGCCCCTGTGCCTGCCATTTGTGAAGAGAGCTGTGGCCTCTGTCCGAAGAGCGCTAGACCTCCGCTCAGATATACCCCTCGTGTCTTGTCCCTCAGATGACAAGAAAGCCCCATCAGGTCACATGTTATGGAGACCTCTTTGCAGTTATCCATCCCAATGCTTTTGAGGGTAGGTCGAAAGAAGAAAGGAGCCGGGCAAATCCACTAATCGCTGTCACAGCAAAAGTGCAAGGACACCCCTTGAGGGCCTCATTACTGATCTAGAAGAGGGCATGGCAGGGAGGGCAGAACAATTTATGCCATCGTCCTTTTCTGCTCAAGCAGAGCTTGGAGGAACGTGTGTTGACCCCCTGAGAGGAAGGGCCCTGGGTCGTCAAGTGCTATGTCCATTCCAGGAAACAGGAGGGGTCAGGATGGAGAAGTGGATAGTGGCAAGACAGAAAATCCAATTTATTTAACATGCTTTGAAATGTAATTAGAATTAAATGGAAGAGGAAATGAGAATGCCCTCCATTTTATTAACACTTTTATCACATCAAAATTACACATCAAAAGTCCCTGTAAGAGGAGCAGGCCTCCAGAGATATGATTGGTTATTTCTTTTTTGTTAATGTACAGATTGCCTTTCCCTTAGGAGTTTAAGGACGCATGCCTAGCACAACCCTAAGAGGTGGGCAGGGCTAAGATGGAGCGATTGGCCCAAAGTCACCCAATGAGAAGGGAAAGAATGGCAGGAAAGGGAGCTGCCTCTGTCTCCTAGTTGCAGCACCGAAGAAGCATCAGGTGGGCCACTGAGAAACAAAATGTTGGGCCAAGTGGGCTTGCCCTGATCCAGCAGGACTGTTCTTTGGGGTCTGCACTCAGGGCTGTTGAGGGCTCCATTATGGTTTTGGTCAAGGAGAACAGGAAATGTACGAAGGTGTTCCTGGAAAGAAAATCCAGCAGTGTTTCCTTCTCCACCTGGCTTCCCAGTTCATCTTCTCACTGAGATTGAGATTAGATCCTCCTTATCAAAATTAGGGAAGGTGAGCTGGCAAAAGACAGATGTTTCTCCATTATGTATTTATAGCACGGTGGGACCTCTTAGTTACTTCCCCTTGGGACCATCGACCTTCGACTTTCCTTTTGGAAAGAAAACACTCCCCCGGGGTGTTGAAGAAACTTCTGGCTTTCTCCTGGGGTCCTTCACCCTCTCCTGCCCACACCATATTTTTGCAACACTCTCTAGAAACACTGTCATTTTGCACTTGTGAGTATGAGTTGCTTGATTTAGTTATGAGAGTGTTTAATTTTTCAAACGTTCAAGGCACAATTTTTTGATTGCACCACTGAAAAAGGAGCCTCCCCCCTTAATATTTGGGACCTAAGAAAGAAAACACTTACCCCCAGCTCCTCTCCCAAGAGTTTCTAAATGTAAAAGTGAAGCACCTGAGAAACAATTTTGATGTAATTTCATGGGAATGCATTTCTTTTCCTTCCCTATTTTCCATGCTATATGGAATGTATAGCATGGGGTTTTTTAAACCTATTTGTTTGGTAAAAAAGATGGCTAAGTACAGTTTTTTGGTGGGGCTGGGGGGAATATCCCTAAAAAAAGCATCATATATTCTAACTTGATTTCCTCTCACCTGTAATTCTTTACAGAAAACCTCAAAAAGAAAAGACACTCAAGAAATATATTTTCTCTTCAGATCCAGGTTGGGGATTGCCTGAAGGCTCAGAAGGAGGAGAAAGAAAAAATTCTTACATACAGAAGAGAAACAGAACAAAAAATGCAGGAGATGCTTGTAAGTATTGATCCAGCGGTGATGAGCTTCCAGGCTAACAGACTGTGGTCTGAGCAGCCACTCAGTAACCCAACCCCACCCACACCCCACACCCCCAGATCTCTATAAATACCCACAGAAGGGTCACTTCACCCTGGGCACAGAG